CTCAAACGTTCGGTCCTTGATATCCTTAGCATCTTTCTGTAGAACCACATCTCCTTTGCCTCGAGTCTCTTCTTCATCTTTGAGGAGACCGTCCAACATTTGCTGCCGTAAAGGAAGATAGATGGGACAGCCTTAGATGACTTTTGCATAGACACAATCAAAGAAATAATAAATGAAATCTACAACAGCTGGGATATACCGGAAGACGTCAGCACATCTATCTTCATAGAAATTGTTATGGTCCGGTTCCTTTTTAGCACGGTGATAGTCCAAGGTAGAACCAATAAAGAAGAACTCGAACACGGGTATGGAATAACACAGTTATATTACAAACATGAATATATACAGAGAAGTAGAAAGTGTTAGTACGAACAATCAAGTTTAGTAGTAATTGTCTGAACGCGACTCTGTTTCGGACTGCCTCTGACTCGACTGACTGACTCACTCGCTCTGACTGACTGACAGACTCCTGCCGGCCCTCAATCCAGACTTCAGACTGAACTCCCTGCCTCCTCTTGAGGCGCAGTATTTATTACGTATAGGATAGTCCATTATGTTATTATGGGTAAGGTCCCCTAAGAAAAATGCCTAAGAAACCAGGCGCAAACGAATGTGAACTCCACCGACCAATCAGCCTAATGAACCACGTAAAAAAAAACTCATCATCCGTATTCTGATGACTAGAGCACACAGCAGAATAGGAAAAGAACAGCGCCGGTTCGTTAAAGACACCGGAACGAGGAACACGATATTCATGCTCAGAATGTTATCAGAAAGAGTGATACAAATGCAGAAAGACGTGTACCTATGTTTCGTACACTACGCAAAAGCCTTCGACAAAGCACGCCACAAGGATCTGTTGGAACTGCTCAGCAACCTTGATATATGCGGGCGGGAAAGATAGAATAATCAAGAATATATACTGGCAGCAAACAACATGCATACGCATAGGGAAAGAATTCAGTGTATATACAAAACCAGGAAGAGGCCTAGGGCAAGGATGTGTCTTTTTACTGGACCTGTTCAACCCATGCAACGACGCAATACCGAGAGAAATGGAAACCCTACTGCGATTTAACAGTGGCGGCCACAATGTTAACAACATAAGATACGCAGATAACAGAGTACTGATAGCAGACACGGTAAAGAAATTACAAAATCTCCTATAGAAAATAGCGACGGAGAGTGTGAAAAAGGGAATAAGCATAAACTACAAGAAAAAGAATTCATGGTCATCAGTTAAAATATGAGCCTGAAATGCGATTTGCAGGTCGGGGATACTAAAATCAAGCAGGTGCAGATGTTTAAATATCTGGGAAGTGTTTTGACAGAGGATGGTAAGTGCGACACTGAGATCCGTAGACGTATTGGAAGGGCGCATTCCAAAAGCTGGGCAGAATATTGCGAGACAGAAGGATTTCTTTGGTTACAAAGAAAAAACTACTGAGCTGTTATGTGACAATGATTCATAGCTAAACATAGTCTGCTGCTGTTTTTTTTCTTTGCAAAAATTTATCGCTGATAATTAATTTTACTATGAAAATGTATTGCTGGCATTTTTACTATAAAATTTCTTATACTCTCAGCGTCTTATGACCCCAGTTTAGAGGTTAACTATTTGCCGGAACAGTTACCGTGAAAGTACGTGTAGAAAACACAGAGGGAAGCTACAGAACGTCTGTGAGAAAGTGACTGTAGACGAGATGCCAGACCAGGACCAACCAAATTGTTATATCCGTCTGTGGACATTGTCGGGGACCTTGAGACTAACAGCGGGGGCTCCAGACCATATATGGCAGCAGTATTCCATGCAAGGGCAAATGGTTGATTTATATGGACTCGGGCGAAAAAATCTTTCTGATGTGACACAGAGAATCAACTTTCCTTGCAGTAGATGCAGCTATTGATTCAATGTATTTGTTCCATCTTTGGTCAGCGGACAGTGTGAGACCAAGCAGGCATAGAGAGGCGCTCTCGTGGAGTTGAGCATCAGAAATTTTAATAAGTGGTAGGGAGGGTTCTCTGTGGTGGGTAAATGAGATCAGTTTTGTTTTTTTAGGCATTAAAGTTTACCAGTCATAATCTCTTTCCCGAATATATCAAGGCTGCTAAGCAGCTCTAACAGAACGATGTGGCGTACTTTTTCGAACGCCTTTGCGTAGACTATAAAACAAATGCACACGTTATTCTGCATTTACATTACTCATTCCGATAACATTCTAAGCATGAATATTGTATTCCTTGTTCCAGTGTCTTTCACGAACCCGCACTGTTCTTGTCCTATCTCTGGCCTGATTCTGTTGCGCGCTCTATTTATCAGAATACGGATGATGAGTTTTGTTATGTGGCTCATTAGGCTGATTGTTCGGTGGCGCTCACATTCGTTTGTGCCTGGTTTCTTAAGCAGTGCTATGAAGATTGGTCTGCTTAGACCGTCTGGTATATCCCCACTGTTGTAGATTTCATTTATTATTTCTGCAAACTTGTCTATGCCAAAATTATCTAAGCCTGTCAGCATCTCTGTTACAGTTCCGTCTGGCCCTATCGCCTTGTTTCTCATCAGTTTATCCAGTGCAGCCTCTACTAGGGTTTTTAGAATTTGAGGCCCGTCGGTAGTTCTGTGTATTGCTGGTTGTTCTCTTTCGTCGTGGAAGAGTTCTCCAATATATTCGTTTCAGCGCTGTAGAACTTTCTCCTTCTCTAATATGAGCGTTCCGCCTTTGGATTATATTCAGCCTGTTGACGAGCAAGTCTTCTGTCCTGTTATTTCCCTTATTTGTTTATTCATATATCCTTTGGTGCTACTCAATCTCTGCACATTTTTCGTTTGGCTAGTCTTCTTTAGCCTGCATTTGGTCCTTATTTCGTTGTGTCGTTATCTGTATTCCGTTCCGTATTTTGACGCAATTTTCTGTCTCCTTTGCATCATGTCGGGAATCTCATGTGATTCATTTTTTCTTTGTTCTTTGTCCATGAGATCATCGTAATAGTAGAAATTATTCCGTCTTATTAATGGTAAGTTATTTTAGTTGGACATTATAAATAATAATAATAATATTAATAATAATGACAGCAGAGTTCCATAAGATTTATACTAAGCTGTTTGATTAATTCCTCTCAGTAAAATATTCATCTTTGACTTTTTCGTTAAATGATTAAGATCGCCATCATATTAAGCTTTTCGGTAATTTTAGTTGCATGCCTTCAAGATGGCGGCGTTTCATTTGTTTTAACGAGTTCATTACCAGTGCCGCTGTTTTTTTTTCATTACAAGACAAGCAACGTTGATGACCAACATTTACGAGTCTCTCCCCTTTTTTTCGGCCTTGTGCCAGAATTACTGTATCAATAACAAATCTTAAACATGGATCGTTTGTATAAAGACTTAAAATTGTTTATAGTTTTATATGTTTTTATACCGCAAAATCTTTAAAAATATAACTTGAAGAAGACAGACATTCTGTTGAAATATCGTTTAACATTGTCAAACATAGATTTTTTTCTTTTTCTATTCTCAAATCCCGCTTTTCTCTTAATCGTTGAAAAATATTGAAAGAGTTATGGAAATAATTTTGTTTATTATTATTATTATTATTATTTTTATTTTCTTTGATTTCTGGCGTTTACACATTTCTTTCCGGGTCCCGCCCAGGGACCTAAGTTTAGAAATGGCATCATGACACTTTCCACTGACAAAAAAAAAAATAAATAAATTACATAGATAAAGACCTTCATAAATATTGGCTGTACTTGTCAGAACAATTTTTTGTATCTCCTTGAGGCATGGACTTCCAGGAATCCCTTCGATTAGTCTACTGCAATATTTTCCAACCAGTCCTAGGGCTCGAACTACAACAGGGATTGTTGATGTTCCCATATGCCACATTTTCGAGATTTCTATTTCAATGTCCTTGTATTTTGACAGCTTTTTGAATATCTTCAAATATACATTGCAGTCAGCAGGGACTGTCATATCAATAAGGAGGCACTTTTTTTTGTTTGTGGTCTTTAATAACAATATCTGGGCGGTTGGCCTTGATTGTTCTGTCAGTGTGTATTGTGTAGTCCCATAGAATTGTAACAGGTCCTATCTCCGTAACCGGGTCTAGGTGGTGTTCATACCATTTATTATTATTAAATAAATAAATAAAAATATTACATAGATAAAGCCCTTCTTAAAGTATGGGCTCTACTTGTCAGAACAATTTATTATTATTATTATTATTATTATTATTATTATTATTAATAATAATAATCTGTTGGCTGTTTTTGTTTAGCGGCATATCAGCACTGTGTAGCTTATTTAAAGCCGAAATCTAAATATTTTGTTCGCAATTAAATTTTATCTTTGTAGATAATAATAGTTTAGTGATACAAGTCTTACTAATTAACCCATAGCTGGTGGCAGAAGGGGTGGATTAATACCTTTGCAAATGGTATTTGCTATTAACTGAATATAACGAACCAAACTGGATTTCGAACTCTGCTCTCCGATTAAAAATTCCGAACATTTATCCATTACACCACCTGCACATCCAACCTTACAGTATTCCCAAGCGTTCACTCTTCTAGGTACTTACCAGGCTCAACGTTACTTAACTTCAGCGGTCTTATAGGGACCGGTGTTTTAGCGTGATGTGACTGTAAGCCAATAATAATAATAATAATAATAATAATAATAATGCCACGTAAGAAAACAAGGCAAGCAAAATAAATAAGAAAATGCGGAAAGAAGTGACAATATTGCCATAACGCACTCATCAAAAATAGCAAAAGAGAAAAATAACATCAACCATAAAAGAAAACTCTAGAGTCTAGTAATGAAATGAAACTAATGCTGGGATAAAAGCAACCAGCTACTAAAAATAAAAAAACAACAAAAAAACCCCCCCAAAACAATGACTATCAGAAATAGATAGGTGAAGAGCATAAGCGACCCTTTGGAGTCGGTCGTGTCAGACACTGTAGACTTCGCGAAGCCATCACAGTGTGAAAAGCTTTCAAATGACGTCGACTCGTGCAACAGGATATCCGAATGAAGAAGCGAAGCAGTTTGAGAAAAAAAATGGCGTCTGATAGAGAAGCTTGCGAATAGAATCACAAATTTTAGTTGAGAGCTGCCGATGTGCATTGATGACCGGAGAAAATGGAGGATTTAAAGAGAGAAAGGGAGGGAGAAAGAGAGAGAGAGAGAGAGAGAGAGAGAGAGAGAGAGAGAGAGATATGAGGGAAATAAATAAATAAATAAAGAAAACAAGATATCTAAACGGTGGGAATCACATGGAGATTTTGATTGGCTGTTTAGTGTCATGTGATCCCTGCGAGGAATCTTCACGTCGTCGGCCTCCCTCTTTCACTTGCTTAAAATGTAGACGCCATTAGGAAATTTCATTTCGTGACCAAATTGCTATCGTTGGGTTTTGTGACTGTGAAAGCGTCCGTCTATAGTTTGGGTGTGTACGTTTGGGGAAGGTGGAGATATGTGCGAGGAAAGGGAAATAAAATTTTGGTAATTTGGTAGGCTGTAATGATAGCTTCCAAATGGTCAAAATTGACGGGAACGTTGCTGGGGATGAGAGAGAAAGAGAGAACGGCAAGAAGATAAGATTCAAAGGAATGGAGATTACTCACTCAGACAAAGGCAACATGAACACATTTATACATATAAAAGGGTATATAAAGTTATACTTATGTCGTATTGTTATCATCAGAAGAAGCTGCATCTGCCATTACTATTCCATTACTGGAAAAGGTCTTTCTGAAATCCTTCAATGACGATCGTGACTACCCTATTCTCCGTGTTGCCAGTGAACCTTTCTATCTAATCTCGTCCTCTTTCTGTTTGATAGTTTCCTTCTGCGTTTGCTAGCCATTAGGGATTAAGCAACCTTTTTTTTATCTTTTAACTTTCTTTGTATTATGGTTATAGACGTGGTTAAATGAGTCTAAACCATACAGAAAACGTTTAGCATTCATTTATCTGAACAATTAGCGTTATTTTGGCTGGAATTTAAAAACCTACTTCTGGAAATAAAGCGGAGCGAGAAGAAATGACTAAACATCAATTGTAAGAAAGCAGAAGACAACAGGAACAGTCCGAACTACGAATTAGAGACTATCCGGACAACTGACCGACTGACAAAAGCCCGACGGCCAAATGCCTGACTGACAAGAGCCCGACAACCAAATGCCTGACTGACAAGAGCACGACGGCCAAATGCCTGACTGACAAGAGCCCGACAACCAAATGCCTGACTGACAAGAGCCCGACGGCCAAATGCCTGACTGACAAGAGCCCGACAACCAAATGCCTGACTGACAAGAGTCCGACAACCAAATGCCTGACTGACAAGAGCCGGACAGCCAAATGCCTGACTGACAAGAGCCCGACGACCAAATGGCGACTGACAAGAGCTTGTACTGTACTGTACTGATGCGGCATTCACCCTGGGCGGATTGAGCCGGCTTCTTCCTGTTATGAGAAGAAGATTCTTGGGATAAATTACAGAAGTAGGGTACCCAGGCCTACTCGGATAACGTTCTTGCTTGCCGCGGGATTCCACAGACGCAGAGACAGGAACGACCAGAAGCCGCCGGTTACCGATGCAGACGCTCCTGATTTTCACCAGAGCCCTTGTTAGCCGGCGTGTGTGTCAGACCTGTCCGCCTTGGGGCCCTACCAGGAACGAAGTTCCGGGCGGCATAGCTCTGACACTACCGTTTACACCCCGCCCACCGACTGTGAGGTAAGGGTTGGACTTTGGGGGGCTTACAGTACCAGGTGTTCCCAAGCGGTCCCACATCTAAGTACTGACCTGGCTCTACGCTGCTTAACTTCGGTGATCGTACGAGAGTCCGACGACCAAATGCCCGACTGACAAGAGCCCGACAACCAAATGCCCGACTGACAAGAGTCCGATGACCAAATGGCGACTGACAAGATTCCGATGACCAAATGGCGACTAACAAGAGTCCGACGACCAAATGGCGACTGACAAGAGTCCGACGACCAAATGCCCGACTGACAAGCGCTCGACGACCAAATGACTGACAAGAGTCCGACGACCAAATGCCCGACTGACAAGAGTCCAACGGCCAAATGGCGACTGACATGAGCCCGACGGCCAAATGCCTGACAGACAAGAGCCCGACGGCCAAATGCCCGACTGACAAGGGTCCGACAACCAAATGGCGACTGACAAGAGTCCGACGGCCAAATGCCCAAATGACAAGAGCCCGACGGCCAAATGGCGACTGACAAGAGTCCGACGGCCAAATGGCGACTGACAAGAGCTCGACGACCAAATGACAACAAGAGTCCGACGGCTAAATGCCCGACTGACAAGGGTCCGACAACCAAATGGCGACTGACAAGAGTCCAACGGCCAAATGGCGACTCACAAGAGTCCGACGGCTAAATGCCCGACTCAAAATGCCAAATGCCTGCCTGATAAGAGCCCGGCGACCAAATGCCCGACTGACAAGAGCCCGACGGCCAAATGCCTGACTGACAAGAGCCCGACAACCAAATGGCGACTGACAAGAGTCCGACGACCAAACGCCTGACAGACAAGAGCCCGACAACCAAATGGCGACTGACAAGAGTCCGACGACCAAATGGCGACTGACAAGAATCCGACGACCAAATGCCCGACTGACAAGAGCTCGACGACCAAATGACTGACAAGAGTCCGACGACTAAATGCCCGACTGACAAGGGTCCGACAACCAAATGGCGACTGACAAGAGTCCAACGGCCAAATGGCGACTGACAAGAGTCCGACAACCAAATGGCGACTGACAAGAGTCCGACGACCAAATGCCCGACTGACAAGAGTCCGACGACTAAATGTCGCCTGACAAGAGTCCGACAACCAAATGGCGACTGACAAGAGTCCGACGACCAAATGCCCGACTCACAAGAGCTCGACGGGCAAATGTCCGACTGACAAGAGCCCGATGGACAACTGCCTGATAAAAACAATTGTTCGACAGAAAAATACCCGATAGGGGTGCGACGAAAGATATTTTTGGTGTGATTCAAAAGGAAACGCATTATTTCAGTGCAATAAGTTTTCCTCGTATTACACATTGAAAAATAGAACCAATCTATCTATCCAAAAATATTGGTTCTATTTTTCAATGTGTAATACGAGGATGCAACTGAGTCACATCATCAAATGAGGGGCTACTAATTTAAATAGGGGGTGACCCTGAAAAAGGATCTGTAAAATAATAAATCATATTATTGTAATAATCTAAACTAGTTGTTTTTATTAATTTTTTTATGATAAGATATATATCCAAGAACAGATAGTAAATAGTAAAAGGTTGCTGAGAGTTATAATGGACAGGAAGTAGTGGAGAGCCATTGTCGCCAACAATTTAGACCGGCACTAAAGAATTATTTATCAAACAAAAAAATTTCATCAAAATTGGATGACAACTATGGAAATGCATAAACAACATCCGAACACACACACACACACACACATTTTGAGAATTATAGATATAGATAATGTTCCAGTAATAATAATAATGTTAACTCTAATATAAATGATGCAGATAGTAATAATAAACTTAAATATTAAGAAGGCAATAATAAAAGTAATAATAAGAATGAATTTAATATTAAACAAACCAACTCTTGCAATCACGACATAAAATCTTGTATCCGACAAATAGTAAGCTTCTCCTTGGCACAGGGTCTTCATCTCATGAGAAGGTAGGGATGGAATGGTTAGTTATTATCTATAACTTTCCCTTTCGAATAACAGAAAAAATATCTAAATATTCTACATATATATAAACATCGGGCATTTTTCCGTCGGCATTTGCCTGTATTGGGCATTTTTTCGTCGGGCAATTTTCCTTATCGGGTAGTTGTCTGTCGGGGTTTCGTCGGGCTCTTGTCAGTCGGGCATTTGGTCGCCAGAGGTTACTGGGCGTGAAAGAGAAAAGAAACAAAAAAACCGGAAACTCAATCCTAAACAAGAAACAAAGGATAGACCTCTACTCCTGTCCAATAGTTCGGGGAAAGTGTTTTAATAGCGGACAGTATGTTACACTGAAATACTAAGGCGCCTTAGAATAGACAAAGATGCCTTTCAAAAGTTAAGCAAATTATTAAGAAAAAAAAAAACTTTGTTAGAAACATAAAAATAAAAATAGAAGCACACTGCACGATTATGTATTATCTATCCTATATGGCCGTGAATGCTGGGCAATCTCCTCAATCAGGAAGATGAGACTTGAAAGATAAAAATGTGGTCCTAGAGAAGGATGCTGAGAATAGCATGGACTGAATATGGGAGCAACAACAAAGTTTTAGGGAAAATGAAAAAGAAAAAAAAGAAAAAAAGGAAAGAACTAAGAATTATACTTGGAATCAGAAACTGACAGGTGAAATTTCACAGATGCATGATGAGGAAAGAGGGTTTGGAAAAATTGATTGATACTCACGAGATATACTTGGGTCAAGACGATAAATAATTAGGAGAGTTAGCAAAATGACAAAACTATCTAAGAGCTACAAAGGGTATGAAGCTGTAGAAAGCCATGATCACTCTTTAAGAGATGCTGCACACAGAAAGAGAATATTAGGAAATGAGCTTTTTCGATACAGCAAACCTTCGGCACTAATTGTCCGACAAACAGCGTTACTTTTGGAATTAGTGAAGCACTCAGATTATTTTCTTGGAATCTTTATACCTCACTTTCGTATTTGTATCGTATACTCCAGTTTCGTATCCGAGGCGTAAACATTTGAAGTAATATAAAATATCAGATTAAAAATAAAAACACTAATTCTTTAGAATTGGTTTTGTTTACGTTTCGGATACTGTTGCAACGTAGGGAAGGTTACTGAATAGAATAATCAAACGAAGGTTGGAAATGAGCGATAATACTTAGTGTTATACTGTGCCGAACGATTTTTTTTTTTTCCACCGAATGAATTCGAATCTTCGTCGCCAATTGTTATGGTCCGGTTCCTTGTACCACGGTGATAGTCCAAGGTAGAACCAATAAAGAAGAACTCGAACACAGGTATGGAATAACACAGATATATTACAAACAGGAATATATACAGAGAAGTAGAAGTGTTAGTATAAACAATCAGTTTTTAGTAGAGAGAACAATGTAATCTCGACCAGTATCACTATTCCAATGTCTTGCAGTAATTGTCTGAATGCGACTCTGTTTCGGACTGCCTCTGACTCGACTCTTGACTCGACTTGAACTACTGATTCGACTTGAACTACTGACTCGACTTGAACTACTGACTCCTTGCCTACTCCTAAGGCGCAGTATTATAATCCATTATTATTATTATGGGTAAGATCTCATAACACTTAGGAAAAGAACAACACATAAGATTCGCCAGCGGCGCGTAGAAGTAGTCAACTACTAAAAGTGATTCAAATGAATTCCACAATGAATCTCCAACTGCTAGAATATCCGCAGAGAGTTTGACCAGCACAGCTGGAGACAAATCTCCAACTGCAGGATATCTACCAACCACCCCACGCGGTCAGATGTGGCGCAAGGCTGAATTTAATGTGGGGTATGCGATCGCGTAGACTCGTCCAAACATTCCCCGTATACCCCGTATAAAACGAGGTCGGGTAGCTGTTTCTCGAGACGAGACTCTGCCCTTTGACATAGCCTAATCTGAGAATATTCTCTGCCTGGAGGCAGAAAGTTTGATCAGTACAGCTGGAGACGAATCTCCAACTGCAGACCAACATACAGTATTTACTACTGTATTTATGTGAATGGAGACATACCCATTATCGTCTCGGGGTATGCTACAACAGATACGAAACTGAGCAAATATGAAAATTTCGAGAAAATAATCTGAATGAAGAATATGTGCTTTCCCTCATAAGGGAAGATTGGAACTTGCTTAGCTGAGACGTTCTTTATAGCCGAGCGGTAAGCACACGCGATCCAACGATGGTTTCCTCTAAAAGGAGGAACGAAGGCTCAATAACACAGGTAATTTTACTAAGATTTCTCGAATGCGCAAGTTGTATTTCGGCGGCAATAATTCTTACAGACATAGCCGGTAGGCGAAAATAAATAAATATACTGTTTAATAAGTAAATGGAGCGTCTACTCGAATATTAGCAGATGCTAAATATAACGTTTAAAGTTATAAATCAATCAAAAAGTTATAAGATGGAGGAACATATATTTAGTAAACAAAATGATAAATATACAAGAATAAATAATTGTTTTACATTAATATGACCGTTTTGAACTTCCACGGTTTCAACACTTTAAATAACCTGTTGATAACCCGTAAAAAATGAATGAATGAATCAATCAAATCCTTAAAACTTTTGGAATTAGTGAAGCACGTCCTGAATTAGGTTCGGTTTGATTTACTTTGTTTTAAGGCATATCAACCTCAATGGGTTATTTAATGCCGACAACATTTTTAGGATAGATTCGTATGAATAGAATATGTATTCTTTGGTTTAGATTGGTTTGGTTTATTTTGTTTTACGGCATATCAACCTCAATGGGTTATTTAATGCCGAAAATATTTTTAGGATAGATTCGTATGAATAGAATATGTATTCTTTGGTTTAGATTGGTTTGGTTTATTTTGTGGTTACGGCATATCAACCTCAATGGGTTATTTAATGCCAGCAACATTTTTAGGAAAGATTTGTATGAATAGAATATGTATTCTTTGGTTTAGATTGGTTTGGTTTATTTTGTTTTACGGCATATCAACCTCAATGGGTTATTTAATGTTGAAAACATTTTTTATTGCTGGTAATATTTTGTTTTGTCAAAAATCTGTTTCTGATAATATTTTTCTTTCAAAATTGTATTGCTGGTAATAATTTAAAAAAAAAAAAAAATGTTGGTAATAGTTAACTATCTGCCCATATCTGGGACCCTAACAATTGCTACCACCCCGGATCAGGGTGGACCTGTGAACATCAGCAATTAAAATGTGGTTCCGCTTTTCACAAAACCTCCTGATCAGAGGCCTTGCTGCTGGACGTAGTTTAACGTCTTACCCAGGACGGTTGCCTGAATTAAACGTTTGTATTTGTAATTTTAACTGAAAGAGGATCGTTTTGTTGTTTTCGTGTCCTCAGCCATTGTTTTTTTTTTTTTTTTTTTTTACTCTGTCTCTTTTTACTTTGTTGATCTTCCCAACAACTTTTTAAAAATATTTTTTTGCTTGGCAATTCACTTTTCGCTTTATTTTCTTCATATTTCTTTTTGTGATATTCTTAAAGAAATTTTCTTTTCTTGTTTTCATCTTGGCAATTCTTTTAATTTCTCTTTTTTTTGTTTGCAGTTCTTTGGTTTCTGTTCAACATTTTCACGATTTCAACGTTGTGTTACTGTTTTTGAATAACTTTGATATATATATTTTTTTTCTTTTAATCAGTTCCCTCCTTGCAAGGCGATGATGCCACTAAGACGCCAGGTGGTCTACTGGGAGTGAAAGAATATGAAAAGACTTTAGAAGGAACCGGAAACCTAATCTTAAACAGGGATAAACCTCAACCCCTGTTTAAAGATCGGTGAGGCGTGTGAACCGGTGTATAGGTGGATCTATCTATTCATATTGGTCTTATCTTTTTTGCGAGCTATTGTAACTATTATATATGTGAAATTAAAAAAAAAGTTAAATTTTTAGATTAAGGCCCGGAAACCAGTTGTATTAATCATTTCCATTCTGGGGTAAATTTGCATGCTTATTTCGAAAATAAGGAGTTATCGACAATATAAGTTCGGCCTCATTCGCGTCGCGGTTACAGCCCGGCCGACATTGCTGGCTTTGTTTACATATGTTTGCCTCGAGTATAATACGTGGAAGATTCACTTGTCTTCATTACTGCACAATATGCAAACTTTAAATTAAATTTCGTGAAAATTGCTCAGACGAGTAAGAAGATAAGAAGATCAGTAAAAAGGCCGTTAACTGAGTAAGCTTCCGCGCATTGTAACTTTTCGATATGTAGGATGTATGCGTTCCCCCATCTACATATTGGCCGGGCTCGAATTTGCTTAACTCTGATGATC